ATCGCTCCGTTGAATTGAAACGTTGAGCTAAAGAGATAAAGTAAGTAAGTAAGTCTCGTTTCGAATGAATTAAGTTCTTTCACTTTATTCCTCGAGATCGTATTCGCATATGCATATTTCGAATTAAAAAAATGAAATTTTTAAAATTAATTGAATAAAAGTGAAATTCTTCGTCGACGAAGAAGAAGAGCTGCGAATCGAAGGACAACTCTCTTTCGAACGAGAAAGAAAAAAGAAGAAGGAAGAAACACGAAAACGTATATGCGAACGAAATGATTCGAATCCAGAATTCGAAGCGCTGATCTTCTTCTTCTTCTTCTTCTTCTTCTTCTTCTTTCCTTTTCGAAACACTGTAATTCATCCGCGATAGTTCTAACGCTGGACGGATCTTTTATAATACCAGTGTAAAACCTGCAATAATAGGCCTTGCAGTGCCGCGAGATTTTCGTTGGTTTACCGTTTTCTGGCAACCGATCATTTACTCGATTATCGTACCGACCATGCATCCTTCAACTTTCACATTCCTTTGGGGAACGCGAATCTGCATCCTCGCGAATCCTCGAATCGAACATATTCGACAACATCCATACAACAAACATTTCCACGCGATATATAACCATCCTCTGTTCCGATCTCTTCTTCGAATTGCCAAAAAAATTCTCAACCTCTCTTAACCTCTCGATCCAAAAAGAAAAAAAGAAAAGAAAAGAAAAGAAAAATTCTCAACCTCTCTTAATCTCTTGATCCAAAAAGAAAAAAAGAAAAGAAAAGAAAAGAAAAATTCTCAGAATCGAAGAGACCGCCGCCCATCTACATCTACGTCTACATCAATTTCGCAAGTCGAGAGAAGCAAAGAGAGGCGCGTAATTGCGAGTCGCGGTACTTTCGAGGTGGCGGTACGCGAGGCCAGGGTGAAAAGGAGGGGAGGTAGAGGTAGGTTGCCGATGGCAACGTGACCGCGATCAGCCAGCCGCGCTATTCAACCGCGCGCGCTATCCAATATTCGACAGGGACCCGGTGAGGTGTTGCGGTAATACACGATCGGCGGAGGAATGCCATTTGCCGGTGCTTGATTTATGCATTACAGAATATATATAGCGGGAGACACCGCTGCCTCGTAGCCCGTGGGGGATTCGAGGGCGTGGATCGGGCCAACGTGAGTATTATTCAAAGTGTTGCTCATTTGGACACGTGGACACACGGGGGAGGAGGGGGGTG